AAAAAAAATTACATTATTGTTTACAACTCTTGGTTTATAAATGAAAGTAAAAGTCTATATGATGCCTGTCCTGCATTAAGAAATGCAGAATTCGCCCGCCTCACAAGCGCAAGGTCCCAAGTTCGATCTCTGGTACCAGAAAAAGAAATGCAGAATTTTAAAAGGTCCTGACTTCTAATTTATGCTAGTGAGATGAGTCAGGCTTCATCTTTCTATGCCAACTTCCCAGGGAAAATAAAAAGTTAGAAATAAAACAAAACAAAACAACAGGAAAAGAAAGCCAGAATTTCGATGGAAAATGGGAAATTCTCTTGGGATCCTGAAACTACTGTCCTAGAAACAATGACAAATTTCTGAAAGAGACAGCTGGTGGGATCATTCACTGGGAAACTTCAAATCCGCCAAGTTCATTACTTGGGAAGTAATAGGCTGATAGAAGTAATTTTCCTCTAAAGAATAAAAAATTGATATGAATTTGTACATGCTTGAGGAGAAACTAACAATCTGGTTTCAGATCTCTTAGTTTTTTGAGAATGTAAATGTTCATGAAGACTGCTGTACTTGTTATTAATGCTTTAAATTTTTCTTTTTGAAACAGCAAATCCTACTGATTATCTGTTAAAGTTATTACTATTAAAATGTATAAAAAGGAATTTATATTTTTGAAGATGTTGAAAATTTTAAAACATGATAACATCTAGTGAGCTTAGACAATGTTGTCTTTCTTTAGAACACCATTTGTGCTGCTTCTATACAGTGTATTTTGTATAGGCCAAAGAAAGCACTTCATACATTTGGTACAATGATATCAACTGAAAATGAGTTTCAATTCTTTTTTTTTTTTTTTGAGACAGTCCAGGTTGTCAAAAAATTTTTTAAATTGTCCTCTTCAGGTTGCTTCATAAATTTCTCCTTGAGAACTAAGGTGGCTGAGGATTGTGCTTTTCTCTTTGAGGGACCTCTCCCAGCATAGTGAGTTCTGATCTTAGCTAGACTGTGGGCTTGTTCAGATGTGAATACACCGTTCCCTCAAGTAATAATACTGGTTTCTGAACAATGGAAGTAAAGAACAAGTCTTGGACCTGGGATTTAGCTCAGTGGTTTTGCCACCTGCTGTGCAGGCGCAAGGACCCGAGCTTGATCGCTGGTACCAAAAAAGAACAAAGTCCTCTGCAGAAGCAATTTGTGTTTTGCCCTTCTTTGTAAAGTCCTTATGTAGTTTTGGTCTGCTTGTGATATATACTTTGTTTGAATGTTTCTCATAACATTATTAAACATTTGATATGTTAGGCTCTGGGCTAGTTCTTGGTTTATCAAGAGTTTGTGATAATGTAGGAAAAATGTCTATTATGAGAATTAAAAAACTAAACACTGAAAAATTATGTATACAGTATCACTATGAAAGAGTAGACTGGAATTTAAAAATCCAAAATAGGGCCGGGGATGTAGCTGGGCTGGGAATTTAGCTCAGTGGCACCATTTCTGCCTCACAAGCGCAAGGTCCTGAGTTGGATCCCCAGTACAAAAAAACCCAAAAGAGCCAAAATACTATTAGGATTCCTTCTTCTTTTTTCACTTGTTGATGCATGTTCATTATAGAAAATTTGGACCTATAAACACATTCATATGCATATGTGTATGTTTAATTTCTTTCCTTCATACAACTGTCAGTTGCCACATCTCCAAGATTGAGGTCTTCAGTGGGTTATAGATTTTTACTTTAAAGATAAGACTTAATGCTGCAGCCAGGTGTGATGGTCCATGCCTGTAATCCCAGCACTCGGGAGGCTGAGGCAGGAGGATTGCTGTGAGTTCGAGATAAGACTGGGCTACATAGTGAGTTTAAGGCCAGCCTAAACCATATAGTGAGACCCTGCCTCAAAAAAAAAAAGACTTAATGTTGCAACTTTTAAAAAACTTACAGTGGCTTTAGCCTTTAATAATGAATGGTACTATTTCAATTGTCATTCCAATATATCTATGAGTTAATGAGTTTTAGTACATAATACTGTAATGAGATTTAAATGAAAACTAATGTCGAGTTTCTTTGTCCATTAATCTGTTGATGAGCATATAGACTGTTTTCAATATTTAGCTGTTATAAATTGTGCTGCCATAAACATAGGTATGCGTGAATCTCTGAAATATCATGTCTTTCATTCTTCTGGAAAGATACCTAGAAGGAGAATAGCTGTGCCAAATGGGATTTTCTAGTTTTAGTTTTTTGAGGAATCTTCATATGGATTTCCATAGTGGTCGTACTAGTTTACATTCCCACCAACAATGTAAAAAGCTGCCCCACATCTCACCAGTCTTTTTTTTTCAATTCATTAAGTTTATTGGTACATTTTAGGTATACAATACAGTTACATTAATCACTGGGATCTTGTACCTTTACATGATCTATCTTTGTTCTTATTTTTGTCCCCATTCCCCTGCCCTCCCTTCACCCCCTTCCATCCCTCCTTATTTACGAAGATTTCCGTTTTTTCCTTTTCTCATATCTTTTCCTTTCTCTTCTTTCTATCCCCCTACCCCTCTCACTTCCCCTTCCCCTTCCCCTTTGCACCTGTTCTTCCTCTTTCACATTACATATTATACATTTTGATCCTCATTTACACTTTCACACCAGAGAAACTATTGGGTATTTACATGCGTGTCCTATTTATTTCTTAAATTTTTGTTTGTTTGTTTGTTTTGGTACCGGGGATCGAACTCAGGTCCTTGCGTTTGCTGGACAGGCGGTGGAACCACTGAGCTAAATCCCCGGCAATGTGTCCTATTTATTTCACTTAAGAGTATAGCCTCAATGTGCATCCATTTAGCTCACCAGTCTTTTTTTTGGTACTGGGGATCGAACTTGGGACCTTGTACTTGTGAGGCAGGCAGTGGAACCACTGAGCTAAATCCCTGGCCTAGCTCACCAGTCTTTATTATTTGATTTCTTGATGATAGACATTCTTTTTGGGGTAAGATGGAATCTCATTGTTATTTTAATTTGCATTTCTCTAATGACTAGCGATATAACTTGAATCATTTGTGGGAAAATGGATACACCTTGAGACCATAGTGTTAAGTGAAATGAATCAGAAACACAAGCTTAAATATAACATGATTTCTCTTATTTGAGAAACACAAAATATAAATAAAGAGCAAAATAGAAGTAGGGATATGCTCTCAAATGGGAAGTGGATCAAGAGATGAGGGAAGGGAAAGGGGATGAGAAAAGATCTTTTAGTAATAAAATCATTATGTACTGTGAACATGATGTGCTGATAAAAGAAATTTAACACTCTTGTCTTCTGGAACCTTATGACCTGGTGGAGGAGAGTGTATAAATTGTAGCATAGTCTGTAAAGCAGTTAAAATGAAATTGCTGGATAGAATGTGATTAAATGCCAAAATTTGTGCTACATTCCAATGGAGTTCAGCTTAAAGGAGATTAATCCAAATCTGAAATACTTGGGAAAGTCCCACTGGTATAACTTAATCTTAGTAATAGGTAGCATTGAGGCAAATACAATAAATAAAAGTGTGGACTTAAAGACTTTATCCTTATCTAGCAAAGAGTTCTTTTAAAAGAATTATTAAGTATTGAATTTCTTACAGAAAAAAAAAAGCACAACCATAACAGCAACAACAAAATAGAAAATAACAGCATCTGAAATGGGCATCGGGCCCTAGAGGAGGGGCCATTCTGGTCTGAGGGCCGAAGAGAAACTTCAGGTTGAGAATAAGCCAGGCAAAGATAACTAGGAGGAGAGAGCCTTGCTTTAAACAGGAATATTTGAAAGCCCTTTTGCAAGCATGGCTGCCTTTCCTTGCAATTTATATTGTTAAAGGAATTATAGAGTGTTTGTATTTGAGTATTTTATATTAAGATATTGATTTGTAAATCCCTTAGGAAGGTATCTTTTACCTTCAATATACAATGTAGTTTTTTACCTAAATTTGAAAATAATTGAAAAATTTTGAGTTTTCTAAAATACTATTTTTTTAGATCTTGTTTAAAACAAAGTTGTTTTAAAACATTAATCCAGAACTAAAGACTATAATTTAGAAATACTCAAAAGTATTTGGCACCTATGAATTTTTTTTTTTTCTGGTGGAGGATTAGGTCATAAATGTTCAGGTGTATATTTGTGCTTCAGTTTTATACATTTGCCTCATAAAATAATTATCTGATTGTGTGTTCCTTAAATTGGAAAACCGTTAAGAAAAGCCAGTTCAGAAATGCATTATTTTAAAAGAATAGATTTCTTTTAGAATTAAACAATTTACTCTTATCAGTAAAATGCCTATCTAGCCTCTCATTAGCAAAAATAGATTTAAAACATTGTAGAGAAAGTAGTCTTAAAAATAAGGTACACATGACTGAATTCTGAATAGAACTTAATACACGTATCAGTTCTTTTAGGAATAAATGTAAAACAGACAAAGATCAAATGTGAGAATATTTAAATGGTTCTCAAGATTTTCTGGTTCATGTGTTGTGATATTGAACTCTTTAGTCCTAGGCTTTAATTTGTGCCTGGTGCTGACCTGATGCTGTGCAGGGACACTCATTGCATTTCTCCATTCAGTCCCTCTAATTATCCCAACTTCCTGGGGAGCTTGCTTAGAACTGGGCATGAGAGCTTGTTATTAAAATATTGGGCTACCCTGGCTATATGTGACAAGGTAGTTTTTGATATCAGATTTATGCATAGATGAACAGAATAGGAACATAAAATTGTTAGGTCTGATTTTCTTTAAATAGGTAGTGGGTATTATAAAAATATTTGTTTAGGTGAGGATTAGGTTCGTAATAAATGAAATCATGGGTAATATGTTCCTGAGCCTTTTTGTTGTATTGCTAGTTTTTAGTGGATATTCAGAAAGGAATCTGACTCTGCAAGTGATATGTGAAACAATTAGATTTGCAATTTTGTGTATATTTGTGGATGATGGTAATTGTTTTTGTTAAGAGCATCTGTTAATATAGGGATTTGTCTCTTCAGGTTCACGTGAAAATGGCGGATGAGGCTGTCTGTGTTGGCCCAGCTCCCACCAGTAAAAGCTACCTCAACATGGATGCCATCATGGAAGCCATTAAGAAAACCAGGGCCCAAGCTGTGAGTCTGAATGAACCTATCTACGCAGCTGTTTCATATGTAGTGAGCAGGAAGCTAGAGTTTGTATTAAAAAAAAAAATAAGAGAGAACGATTGAAAATGCTGTTGCAGTTAGTTCATGTCACATGAGTTAAATGTGGCCGAATTCGCTACTGGAAATCAAAGGCTTTGTAGCATCTGGCAGTGTTGGTCGCTGATCCTGCAGGTGGCTGCTGGATTCAGCTTTCACACCAGGGAGCAGTTTCAGTTCATTTCCAAATTTGCTAGGAAAAAAGAAATTCCAATTAGTTTTGAGTATTAACCCTTTCAGGGTAATAAGAACATTAAAAACAACAACAATAAAAAAACCCTCAGGATCCAAAAGACCCTGTTTTAATTCCATTTTAAACATTTAAAAATTATATGTACCCAGTTATATTTCCAGAAATAAAAACTATGCATTTAGTAATTATTTGAGTTAATAGTGTCAATAAAATTCCCATAGCTTATATCGATAAATCAATTATTCATTTATTTAAATTTGGTTTGAGTAAAGTAGAATCCAAGGAAAAACGGGTTTCTGATATCAGATATAGCAGAGTTTTAAAAAATACCAGAGAAATAATTACATATAATATTAAAAACTATCCAGAGTTATCTCTGAAACTGAATGGAAGCAACCAGCACTGGCACTTAGTTTGGAATTCTTCAGTTAGTACTCACATTTCTCTGAAAGAAATGGTTTAGATACATGTTTAAATAAAGGTACATGTTTAAATGAATTTGAATTCATGAACCTTTATTATTAGATACTTACAGTTTATTAGCACAGTTAATGAAAGTAGAACTCAACCTTTTAACTATAGCTTGTCAATATAACTTTTAGTTGAATGTTTATATAAAATGAAATTTGTAGAATGAAACTTTTTTTCTGATGCAGCAGTTTAAATTATTCTCTACCATGTGCAGAAAGCTCAGTTCAGCATTAAAAATCTCTGATATGGGGCTGGGGATTTAGCTCAGTGGTTTCACTGCCTGCTGTGCACGTGCAAGGACCCGAGTTCGCTCCCCGGTACAAAAAAAAAAATCTCTGATATGGAGCTGTTTTTAGGTTATGATATTGGCTCCTTCAGAAATTTGATTTTCCTGTTAGCATAATTGCTTTACTAGAAATTTGTTCAGTACTGATATTGGAGTGGATAAATTTTATGTTTGACCCATGTGATGGGTAGAAAAATTACTTGATTAGAATGGGATGGTAGAATTTAGATCGTAGTAATGTGGCTTGTGGGAGAGGGTAGCATAAAGTAGTTGTGAATGGCTAAATTTGGAGTGAGGAGAGGAAAAATAGATATTAGAAAAAAGTTCAAGAGTACAGTACAAGGTAAAACCAAATCTCTGTTTTAGTTTGGATTGATAGAGATCTGAGCTTGTTGGCTAGTGGGACGCCATCAGGAATAAAATGTGTTAGTTCACTTAGTACTTGGATTTGGAAAATAGCAGTTCTAGGTATTTTTAAAAAAGAGGAATTCTGAAGTTTTCACCCATTTTGCCAAATGTTACTGTAAAAATTCTTTTATGTATCAGCCATTGTGAAATTCCCCAAACTTGGCCAAGCCTTAGAAGAAGTAGGGGGATTTTGTATTAAATCATGTAAACAAATGGAACAGGGCAAGCAGATATGTAGATATATGCCCCTGATAGCCAGGACAGAGGAGACATTTTATTCTGCACCCAGAAATATGAGTCAGACCTGTCAGTATGTGAAAGAGAAGTAGATTTATTCAAGGGCACTTGAGGAAAAAAACCACATGAATGCACCCTATATGTTGCTTATTTAGGTTTTTCAATATGTAAAAGAGCTTTTGTTTTTTTTAATTTCTAAGGTACATCCAGGTTATGGATTCCTTTCAGAAAACAAAGAATTTGCCAGGTGTTTGGTAAGTTTGTAATGAACCAGAAAATGTTGATTTATATTTCAGAAAGTAGTATAATGGCATGGCTATTGTAAATGGGGGTACTGTTGAATTATAATGTTCTAATCAAGCCACATATTCTTTGAAAATTGTGAAAAGTGAAGATTTTTTATTCTGGAACCCAAGTCTTGATTTGAAGTATAATTATAAAAATGGAAAATTTATAAAATTGCCATTATGTCTAGTCTATTACATAGTGCATAGTCTTTGATTTTTAAAATTAAAAAACCAGATTTTAAAATATAAATATGTCAGAGAAGTCAGTGACTTACAGTGATTTAGTTATGCCATTAGTATGAAATATGAAGTCAGAAATAAAGATTCTATTTTTTCCCTTGTATCGCAAATTGTGGCATTTAAGATCAAATCTTACTGCCTCCTCTGTTTTAGCAAGAAAAATGTTTTTAATGATCTGGCTGTTCTAATATTACCATCTAATTAGATAAATTAACCTGTATTTGCTATTAAAATGATTTTCTAAGTGTATTTATAACCACATTCAAGGTGATATCTAAACCTTAGTTTTCAGGTATATGATTTTGATTATGAATTTTTTTGTGATTAAATCAATTGTGCCAGATATTATCTTAATTTATTATTTAAATATGTTATATTCCCTCCTTTGGTAACTTGTATTTTGTTCTCTGGATTCAAAATTATTTATAAATGTTTTCTAGATGAGATTTCCACTTAAAAATCTCTAATATAGAATAATTATTAAGATCATAGAGTTCTAGCTTAAAATTGACCATATTAACCAGCTTTATCAATTAAAAAGTAAGGCCTAAAGAGGTATCTGGAGTTGAGAAGTCCAAATATCCAGATTTACCGGTTTGATGAGGTATATTCCAGTTTTTCTTGTGTATACATTGTTCTTTTTTATCTTCCTTGGGATTCTGGCTGAAATTCTGTCATAAAAATGATTCGAATATAATACTTATTTAAATATATTTTAAAAAATATATACTAATGTATAATACCAAAAAAAAAATGTGCTGCAGAAGTGAGCACTATAGCCTACTTTTTTTTTTTTTTTTTGGTACTGGGGATCAAACTCAGGACCTTGTGCTTGCAAGGCAAGGCGGTTGCACCACTGAGTTAAACCCCTGGCCCTAGTCTACTTTTTGTAAATAAGGTTTTATTGAAACAGAGCCATGTCCATTGATGTGTATGTTGTCTGTGGGAGCTTTTGCCCTGTAACTATGAAATTGAGTAGTTGTGATAGACACTGACGTGCCAAACCTAAAACACGTATGCTACATAGACCTTTATAAAAAAAGTTTGGTAATTCTTGGTATAGATGAGTATCCAAGTCCCAGGAAATTTCAATGACATAGCTAGTATATTCATTCATATATATATTCAATAATTTAAAGAAGCCTCATCGACACTTATGCCCAAGGGATTTGAGGATATAAAAATGAATTGTATATGAGTCCTGCCCTAGAGGAGGGCAGTCATATTGTGGAAAGTAAGGAAGTGATTTCAGTTCAGGGAAGAAAATATTGTCAGAGAAGATCAATTCTTTACAAATTAAGAAAAGGTAAATGATTTCCATTTGGGTTTTTACATTAGAGAATGGAGTGTAGGTTGTATGGCCGCTTTCATTTCTCTCCAGTTTTCTTTCTCTTGTTACCTCCTCCATTCACCTTTTTCAGTGCTGTGCCTCTGCAAGCCTGACTTCATGGGGGCTCTTTCCAGGGACAGGCTTTTCTTCACTTTCCTCCCTGGGTAGGCACACCTGTCTTTTCTTGACTTATTCCCAGCTATCTACCCTTAAAGGCACAGCTCACGTATTAGCTCTGTTGGGGGAGTTTTTCATACCTTTCTTGTGAGATGTAATATTTTTCCTTTGACTTCAAGAGCAATTTAAAAAATTTGTTATTTGGTACAACATAGTCCATACGTTATACCATACTATGTTAAAACTGTCCATATTATGTTACAGTTGTTTCTGTAATTTATAAGAGCCTTGGCTTTATCAGTCTTTGTTTCCACATTGTCATTTAGCCAGTGATCTCTACACAGTAAGCTCCATAAGTATTTGTGGAAGATTCAATAAGTGCTAGTAGATTAAGAATTTGAAAGCCTTCAACTTGTAAGAAAACTTTTTTCCTGTCGCAAGACTGAATTATAACTAGAAGCCAGTAGTGCTCTGTTTGCTCGCTATGAAAATACAATACAGCTTCTGATCAAGTAGCCCTCCTCCACTTTTGTGTGTATCAGGGCTAGATTCTTATTTGGGATATAATTTCCCTGGCATTAAATATTTTCCTATCAGAGTATACCATTTATGATGCTGTTTCTAGACTCTCTGGTCCTGGCTGGTCATTTCCACAAAAATAACAAATGAAGTTGCACACAGATTTCATTATGCCTTATAAACATTGTTTGTGTGACTAGTGACCAACTATGATGGTTTCTATTCTAACCTGGGTAGATTGCCATATTGGCTGTAACTTTGGTTGGGGCTCACAAGAGATTTAAAAGTTTTCTCTGTTTTTGTAGTTTGATACTGTTGAGCTCATTTACTGTAATATTATATCTTATGTTTGAAATTTAATCAAATATGGATTTTTTCATTTGTGATTATATTTACTTTATTGTCATACAAAGGTTAGTGTAGTTTTTTTTTTTTTTTTTTTGGTACGGGGGATTGAACTCGGGTTCTTGCGCTTGCGAGGCAGGTGGCGGAACCGCTGAGCTAAATCCCTGGCCCTGCACATGATTTTTAAAAATCACTTCTTTTGTTATTGGTTAAATAATTTATGGGAAAAGCAAAGCTGCAAGTAACTCTCATGAAGAATAGCAATTTTTAATGTGTTGAGCAAACATTGTATTTTCAAACTGTTTCCTCTTTGGACTTCTGTTATTCTGAAGAGCAAAGGACCAACAATGGGAGGATGTAAGGATTGTTAGGATTAAGAAAAAAAATTTTCAGAGCAAAGCACTCTTTCAAAGCAAAACTCCCACCCTCTGGTAAGAATGGATATTGGTTTAGAGAGATTTCATAGTCCTCCTACTGCTCTTGTGTAGTTTTAAAAAAAATCATGTATCATTTTAGCCCAACACAGCATTGCTATATTTATAAACCTTATAAGACTTTTATATATTAGATTTAATAATTGATGTATTTGGTGTATTTAAAGCATACATGTACATGTATATGGATAGTTTTAGGATATTCAGAATTGAAGGTGTAGAAAAGGAAATGTGGCAAGCAGTTGAAGTTTGACTATCGTACTCTTTTCATTGTCTTTTCTCAGAGAGCTTTTAGCTAGATAAAGAATGTAACTATTATAGAAACAATAACGAGGTATAAATTTTTCGATCCAGTGGATTAACTAAAATATGTTTAAATAGTTATGATGACCAGTCTGGGCAAGGGTACAGGCTTTTGTTCTGGGGGGTATAAATTGTTTCCATCCCTGAAATTTGCTAGTACCTGTAAAATTTAAGACATATAAATGTATGTTCAAGTAAAATATATATTATTCGGCTCAGAAATGCCTCTTTTAAGAATATTACTTGAAAAGATATATTTGAATAAAGTTTATTGTAAATTTTTAAAATATATATAATAGCAAAATTTGGAAATGGCTCAAAAGTTTCTCATCTGGAAAATGAGAATGACAGCTACCCTGTGGGGTTGTTGTAAAGATTAGAAATAACATATATGAAGAACCTAGCCGAAAGTCTGGCATTGGTGGGCAAAATTACCTTAATATTCTTTTAATATATGGGGAGGAGCTACCAAATAGTATTTAGGAGAATGAGAGAGTTAAAATTGGTGTTTTTGAGAAATTAATCTGGTAGTTTTCAGATTGTTAATGAAAGTTATCATTAATCTGATAGTTTCCATTTCATGGCACTGAAGTTGTAGACACAAATGATCTCAATTAATTGAGTCAGACAAGGAAGTTGAATAGTATGAACTTTATTTCTGGTGCTGGGAATTGAGCCTGGAGCCTCACACATGCTAGGCAAGTGCTCTGTTACTGAAGTACACTCCTAACTCTTTTTTTTCTTAGTTTTGTTTCAGGGTCTCCCTGAGTTGCCCAGGCTAGACTCAAACTCATGACCCTCCTGAGTAGCTGGGATTATAGGCATGTGCCACCACGCTCAGCTATTATTCTCTCTTAATAGAAATATTTGAACAATATGATTCTTTTTCTGAAACTTGGACTAGGTTCAACTTTTAGAGTGTTTGTTGAGGAATTTGAAGACAGTGTAGAGGATCGTGTGCTCTGAGTTTCTGAGGGAGGAAAATCTTCCTCTATTTTTAAGTCTTTTAAGGATAAGATCAGTCAAATACATTTGGGGCTGTGGAGTTTTTCAGGTGTGTTTTCAATAGGAAAGTTGATGTGATTTTATAGGGCTGGGCTTTCTTTGGTTTCTCTTCAGATTATATAAATTGTTGATCTTTTATAAGGCTGGGTTTGTTCCCCTTTTGGTTGAGGTTAAACAGTTTTCAAGTTACATTCTCTAATCACCATCTTCTGTGTAAAGTTATATGCATTTCCCTGCATATATTATAAAATCCATGAAAAGAATGTCATAATTTTTTCTTTAACCATGTTTGAAAATGAGTTAGGGCATCTCTTTCATGAATGACTTAGATATTCAGTTGATATTGACTCATTCTTGTCTTTTAAAAAAATGTTTTAGCTAGGGATGATGATATATACTTGTAATCCCAGCACTCAGGAGGCTGAGGCAGGAGGATCAATCACCTAAGCTCAAGGCCAGCCTGGGGTACATAGTAAGGCCAGCCTGAATTGCAGAGTGAGACCCTATTTTCAAAAAACAAAACAAAACAAAATATTTTTTGTTATACATGTATTTTTCAAAATGTGGTAAAACCTAAAGAAAAAAAACCTATCCTTTTGCCACCCCCCCATCTATTTATTTAAATTGACAGGTGAAATTGTATGTATACTGTACTACATGATATTTTCAAATATACATATATATGTATATATATTTTGGAATGGTTAAATCTAGGTAATAAACATATGCATTACCTCACAGTTACCTTTTTTTCTTTTTTTGCCATGAGAATACTTAACATCTACTTTTAGCATTTTAAAAGATATATCATTAACTGTAGTCACCATGGTACACAGTAGATCTTTTGAGTTTTCATTATTTCTGAGAGTGTAGCTCAGTGGCACGACTTTTATTCACTCTGTTAAATAACCATCACCATCCTTTATCTTCAGAACTTTTTCAGCACCCCAAACCAAAACTCTGCCTTTTAAACCCTAAACCCCCATTTCCCACCCATCTCCATCACCTGGTGAGGTCTGTTCTACTCACTGTGTGAGAATTTGCCTAGTTGTGGTACCTCCTCTAAATGGAATTACCCAGTATTTGTTTCTTTGTGTCTAGCTTGTTTCACAGGATTTCCTTCCTTTTTAAAGGCTGAATAATAATCTGTATTCTAGCTATAGCACGTTTTGTTTCTCCACCATGTGTTGATGGACCATAAGTTGTTTTCTATTGGCTATTGTGAATGATGCTGCTGTGAACCAGTACTTCTGGCTGCATCAGTTTTTATTCCCACTGTTCTGTGTCTTTATTTGTTTGGTTTTACCACTAAATCATACCTATCTTTAATACAAGGACTAGGTAATTATTAACTCATTGGCTATATAAGTGCAACTTATATAGCGTCAGAGGTTTAATGTAAGAATATCTTCCTAACCAATATATGACTGCTCGTTAATCTAATATTGCTGTTACTGAGACCCACTGCAGACTTGTAGGACCCCTGGCACCGTTGATGATGGACATTCATTACTATTTATCCCCTAACATTTTAAAAATAACATTTCAGATATATAGAAAAACTTGAAGAATTATACTATAAATGCCAGTATACCTACCATTTAGATTCTATGATTAATATTTTGGTATATTTACTTTTAATATATTTGCCTTTTCCTGTGTTCATCTCTCAGTCCACCTCATTTTATACATTAAAGTAAGTTGTAGATAATAGTCCATTTCAGTCCTCTGCACTTCAGTATGGATGAGTTCAATATTTGTGTGCAGTTCATTTTTGATTAAAAACCTTTAATGAAATATAATTGTTATTCAATAACACATGCACAGATAGCAAAAACTTATTGTAGACTTAATGTATACCCCTGAACTCATAGTCATAATCAGGATAAAAACCATACCATCAACTCCGAAGATATCTAGGTGCTTCTTTGCTGCTCTTTTCCTGGCCTTTTCCCATGCCTTCCTCTTCCTCCCTGGGTAATGCTAGATCTGCTTTATGGTACTGTAAGTTGTTTTGTCTTTATTATAATTGCATATAATTAGAATCATACAGGATGTGCTCTTTTTGGGATGGGCTCTTTTTTACTCAGCAAACTGCTTTGTAAATTTGTTTGTTTTAAAATTGAGCTATGTTGTGTCAGTCCATTCCATTTTATTGCCAAGTAATATGGTATTTCATTGTGTGGACATGTTGTAATTTTATTTATATCCATTTATCCATCAGAGGACAGCTGTGTGGTTTCAACTAAAGGTGTAAGGGAATTCTTTGGAATTTCCCCGGATTTGTTTAACAAATAATCTCTTCTCGTTGACTAGATAATCCAAATATATTTGTCAGTTTTTCCTGTCATCAGCATTTCTCAATGATTTGTCTCAGATAATATATGTAGATTTTGATTGTCACCCAATTTCTATGCAAGTCAAGGCTGAAGTCATGTTTTTTAACTCTTGGGTCTCTCAAGAAGCTTTCAGTGTGTGCTTGTTAATGCTCTGTTTGATGAGAGAAGTTGTTGAAGTAAAATTTGAAATTCTAGAAAGAAATGTAGAAAAACATTTTGAGAAGCATCCCTATGCTTTATGTTAAAATGCTGTGGGTTTTTTGTTTGTTTGTTTGTATTTATTGGTACCAGAGATCAAACTTGAGCTTGAGCTTGCCAGGCAATAAAATGCTGTTGTTGTTTTCTTTAAACTTACAGTAATTTTAAAATTTATTTTTATTTATTTATTTGTATATGACCTCTAAACTTACATTTTTTGTTGTTCTATTGATTAGTTTGAGGATTTTGTTGGATTAAATGAAGTAACATTAATTATTACTGTTACATATGGTTACTGATTCTTATTGCCCCAAAATTCATTCTAAAATTAAACTTTTAAGTGCATGCTTTCTAAAACAGGCAAACATGGGGCTGGGGATTTAGTTCAGTGGTTCCACTGCCTGCCTTGCAAGCACAAGGTCTTGAGTTCAATCCCTGTACCCCCCCACCCCCACCCCCAAAAACCAGGCAGGAATAATGAGATGACTGCTGGGGCTTTGTTTTTGGACTGGACTTTATCTGAGAATGTTACAGAAGTTCTGAAGCACCCTATTGACACAGTATGACACACACTAATGTGTGGCAAGTGTGTGTGTGGAAGAGAGAGACAGAGAGAGACAGAGAGAACACTTCCCAACATATGAGTATCTGTCTGTAGCCTGCATGTTTACACAGGTGTGTGTTCCTCCCTTTTTTTCCCAGATCTTCACATGCTAGTTAGTTGAATGCAAATGTTAAGAGAAATAACATATCACATGACAAAAATAGGGGCTGGGGATTTAGCTGAGTGGTTCTGCCACCTGCCTCGAAAGCACAAGGACCCAAGTTCAATCCCCGGTACCTAAAAAAAAAAAAAAAAAAAAGTATAAGCATATGACAAAAATAATGTGTTACATTTCTTAACTGTACTGATTTACTTGTAAAACATTAAAACATTTGATTATTATTGACAGCCCTTATATATACCATTGCTGATTAGAATGCCATTGTTTAGAGAAACATTGAATGTGAACACCAGCGTTCATGGGCCGGGGTTGTAGCTCAGTGGCACAGTGCCTACCTAGCACGCGTGAGGTTCTGGATTCGATCCCTGGTACCAAAAAAACAAAAAACAAAAAACCAACCCAGAGTTCATTATGTTTATATAATATGTAAATAAATGACAGTATATTTTACAGTGTAGTATAGGTTAGCTCAATGTTTGATATTATTAATTGCATAATGGCTTATTTAGAAGGCTAAGTTGGTTATGGTTCTAAAATAATTGCTGAACCTGGGTGCTTGATATCTGGAGACCCGTTATACTATTCTCTCCATGGGATGCCAGATTGTCACAGAACACAGGATTTCATGGTAAATTGATTGCTTAAGAGAGTACAGTGAGCCCTTGATTTAAGAACTCGATTGGTTCCTGAGGGCTGGTTGTAACTCAAGTTGGTTATACTGTCAATACAGCTGATATCTGGATGTTTACCTGAGTACATGCTGTAGATAACAAGAGGCAGCTGAATCTTCCATTAACCTAATTAACCCAAGTCGTTTGTATGTCAGGCTGGTTGTAACTTGAGGGTCCACTATATATTAAACCCAGAGACATTCAATCTCTCTTTCACTTACAGTATCAGTGCATTTTAGTCATTGTCTTTGAAATGTTCCCTGTTATCAAAGATGTCTACTTTTACTTTTCTTTTTTCTTTTTCTATTTTCTTGGGCAGGAGAAAGAACAGTGTTTTATCTTTGTTTTATTATTAGTAGAATAGATAACAAAGTTTGTTATCTTAAAATTTCTTCCATGTCTCTTGGTTTATCATATATTGACTCGAGCATTGTCAGTATAAAAAGAGTCAGCAGGCTGGGTGTGGTGGCACATGCCTGTAATCTCAGCACTTGAAGGCTGAGGCAGGAGGATTGCTTCGAGTTTGAGGCTATTTTAGGCAGCATAGTGAGTTCAGAACCAGGCTGGACTACATAATGAGACCCTGTGTCAAAAAAACAAAAACAACCCCAGGTCTGGGGATTTAGCTCAGTGATAGAACTATTATCTAGCAAGCATGAGGAGCCTGGGTTCCAGCCCCAACACCAAAAAATTAAAAAAACAAAAACAAAAACCAACCAACCAAACAAAAAGTCAGTAAAGAGTACTCTTCCCATGTATGTGAGCTGGCTCTTAAGTAGCCAGGAAATATACAAAGGAAACTCCCACCTGGGTGATGTGAGTTACTAGTAACAAACAAACACAAACCCCCAAACACCCTGTTATTTAAAAAATTTAATTTAGAGCAATAAGAGGTAATTTTCATAATCCCAGTATCATATTAAACATTAAAATCTTTATGCTGTTCATCCCTTGATGGTAAACTACTTAAGCTATTTCTCAAAAAGCTTATACCGTGCCATGTTGTTATGATATGTGATTGGATTAAAGGGGAGAAAGAAAATTATAATTATCTCCAAGACGAATTAGTTGCCATAAAAGCAGTCATATTTTGATTCATTTGCTTATTGTTTATAATATAAATTGAGAAATTAGATCTTTATTTTTTCATAGTTCCCTGCCCTCATAGGATAATCTTAACGTCTGACAGAGTTTGGGAAAAATGATGTTATACAATAGAATGAGCAGCTTCCACTGATGGAATCTATCTATGTACGAATTATTTTTTGCCAGGAACCTAAATGAGAGGACTTGAGTTTACTTAACAAAGGGTAAGCATCTATGTAGATTGCTTTCAGAGAGATAACAAAAATTGAACAGAGACCATTATTATTTTTTGTGGTGCTAGGGATTGAACCCAGGGTCTTGTACATTGTAGGCAGGTGTTCTAACACTGAACTACACCCTCAGCCCAGAGACTATTATTTGATTTACCTAAGACTTTCAACATACTTCCTGGTGTGAGTGTGAAGTAGAAAAATACTATGTGTTGATGTCAAACCCTGGGTGGGACTGAGTGTGCACTGGATGCCAAACATCCTGCTAGGCCTAGAAAGGTTTCCAGATCGGGCAAATTTTGAACAAACCTACCCCGTGGACTCTGGATTTGTTGAACTGGAACAGCACATGAGACAAAGCACAGTTATTAATCACACAGCAGAAGGATAAATGAAAGCCTAGGATCCACTGAGAGCTGGTCTTCTGAGGCTCAGGAAAGCTGCTCAGGGAGGATGGAGTCTCCATACAGGAGGAGCCTCAAAATTCCCCACTCTGGGTTATACCCAGGGGTCCAGTTGGTTCCCTGGGCTAAAGTATTGTAGACATCCTGTTCTAGGCAGGACAGGGACAGAGAACAAACTGCTTCAGACAGTGCTTTCTTATTTCAGGGTGTTCTGTTCTTGTTATATTCTTCTAGATGGGCAAGAGGGAGAGGGCTGGGTCAGCCACAGCCACCCAGGGACCTGTCCTAAGGTGAGAAGGTGCCAGGTACTGCTCTAGACACCAAATATATCTAGACACCGAATACATTCAGTGACGAAGAGACAAAGTTTGAATGTTCATGGAGTTCTTTCCTAGTACAGGAAGTCAATAATGAGTTAAAGTCAGACCATGATGGATGCTATAAAGAAAATAGAAGTGAGTAATGCACTAGAGTAGTGGATGGTGTACCTTTTAGAGCTTTCGATGATAATCAGCTGGCTGTGGCAACGGTGCCATAGGTTTGCCACCACTGCACTAGAGCATTGGCTCCCAGTGTATTTTGGGGAACCTGGGGGCCCTTAGGGTCCTTTCAGACTCTGAAATGAAAACTGATTTTCATAACAGCCTCCCATCCTCTCAGGATTGTGCAGCTGAGTTTTCCAGCAGCTACATGATATATATTATCATAACAGACTGAATGCAGAAACCAGTTAGGAGAACCCAGCTATCTTCTATTAAGCTAGATGTTAAAGAGATTTGCAAAAGTGTAAAACATTTCCACTCTTGCTAATGAATGTGTCATAAAAATGTTCTTGTTAACATTACATAGGCTATCCTTTTAAAAGAATTAAATAGTTTTTCTTAATTTTAATAGTATATCAATACAACATACATGGCAATCTGAAGTTCTTTGAGATTGTCAATTTTTAAAACTTAATTGTAAAGTGACTCTGAGGTCCAAAAGTTTGATAAACACTGTCCTAGGGGGTTATTGGGTGGCCACTTCAGACCTTGTGGTGAAGAAAACTTTTTCTGAGAAGTCAACGTGTAAGCCGAGAGCTGATGGGAGAAGAGAACATTCTAGACAGAAGCCAGCTTTCTCTGCCGACTCTTCACCAGCCCCTTCCACATTCTTATCCTTACTGACACATCAAGTCAAGGAACTTGGCTTAGTTCCTCTCTGATAAACTGTTGCTTACCACTTCACTTACTAGCCACCAGTAATTTGTTACCTTTTAATGAAATTGTTTATATACATTTCCAAACATGAGACAAACTTTTGGAAGAAGGTTCAGCTCTTTGCTGTTCACACCAAACTAATTTAAAATGTATTTTAAAACCTTAAATGTTGGTCAAATCTATATTTCCTATTAAATTAATTTCTTCTGCATGAAAAAAAAATCACATTGGATTTTTATACATGACTTTTAGTATTAGGATTTTGTGTTCCCCTCATCATTCTTAAAGGTAAATTTGGGGCCGGAGATTTAGCTCAGTGGTTTCGCCACCTGCTGCGCAAGCGCAAGGACCTGAGTTCGATCCCCGGTACCAAAAAAAAAAAAAAAAAGGTAAATTTGTTTCTGCAATCTTTATGCTTTGGGGCTTTAATTTGGGGTATATTTATTAATGTATGTAGACTCTGGTTTTTGTTATCATTCCTGATATTTTTGTCTTTATCATACCTTTTAAAAGCAGTAGCAATTTAAAAAGTGAATTGTGGAGAAAGACAAAAAGGAAACAATGGGTTTATGTAAAGTAAGAGTAGAAGCAAAACAAAAGTGTGTGTGGCCACAATATGAATGGATGAGCAAATTGTTAACTTTTTTTTTTTTTTTGAGCACTCTGTGCCAGCACTATTCCAAGCACTCAGCATGTACTAACTCATTTGCTTCTCATAACAGTCCTGTGGCTGGACCTATTATCTTCTCTTTACAGGTAAAGAAGCTGAAATTACTCAAGGTCACACAGCTGTTAATGCCAACCATCATTCATGGTCATAAACATTAGACTGTACTATAGTTACTTGTGGAGAACAGATTGTACAGCTTGTGTGCCAAAACGAAGCCTTAAAATGTTTCCGGCTTTCTTTTCTCACTTATCATTATCTTTCCCCTATAAGACTGCAATTCATTCAGCCTCTTGCTGTCTTTACCTTGTAGAATACTTCTGAGTCCTGAAGGGACTTACAAAGAGCACTGTATAAAAGTTCCAGTTTCCTCCCCGAAGCTAGAAATGGGAGAAAGAAGCAGAAGAGATAAGAAAACAAGCACATAGAAGAAGAAAGCAATGGTGGAAAACAGGAATGGTGTTCTGTGGCAGTCCTACTGGGAACCAGGACTGCACATATGGGGAAGCTGCATATCTGTAGTGCCTTGGGTGTAGGGAACAGCAGTAACAGAATGCTGGTCATAACAGCACTTGGTGGAGATTAGAAACAGCAGTAAGGGATGATGAGTTGTAGTAGGTCTCTGGGAAATAAGAGGTAGATGATGAAACTGTTTTTGTGGTGCCAGAAAGTAAGCGGTAATGCAGAAATACAGGTCCTAGAGAAAGTAGACAAATGTTGTCCTCTGGGGAAATTACCCGGAGAGGGGTAAAAGAAAGTCAAAGCTCCTGAGCTCCTGATGTATATGTGCTTGTGGAGAAGAGAAGAGGTGGTGTTGAATGGGTCTTTGATAGGGGAAGAGTGAGGTTTTGGGTTTTAG